CCCCCCCCAATATCATCTCAGCATTGCAAGAGATAAGCCCAGGCAAACAGTCACCCTGGAGCTGATATTTTTTTCACGTATGCTATGCTGAGGGGAGATAAGCGTGGAGGTAGTTTCCCACCTCAGACTTTTTGATTAGGAAGGAATGAAACTATTTTACTCGTTGTTTTTTAGCCAATCTATTAATTCTTTGCCAATCCAATACCACCATAAATGTGCTGCACAGTGTGCACGGACTCATAGCAGGCGGTGCTGGAGGTTTGCACCATGGTGGGTGACTTCTGCTCTCCTGTCATGTGCCACCCACTCAACTATAGCCCCGCTTCTCTTGGGCTGTAGGTGTTGCTTTCTTCCAGTGCTTTCTTCCTTCTTAGCACCACTTTTCACTGAGGCCTGTGGAAGCCGCTAGTCGTTGATAGCCCAGAAATGAGCATTAGTTCTGGTTTCTGAGGGTTTCCAAGAGGCAAACTATCAAACCTTTCAGCGATACCCAGGGATGGGGAAGGAGCACCAGCAGACTGGCAGTTATCCCATGGCAGAACAGGGGGCTGAGCTGCTCATAGGTGCCCATTTCCATTCAGAGCCTTCCCGAGTGATGCTGGAGCCACTTTCCTTACGGAGCATGCAGAATGGAAAGCAGATGCCAAGTCCTGCACTCGCCTCTGCTCTTATGTCCCTGACCTGCTCTCCTGTGCTCTGTCTGTACCCATAGAAACTCTGGGAGCATTGAGGTGATGATGGAAAGCATCAACAGAGTCTAAGTTAAAATGGTGTTAAAAATAATACAAATTATCTTTCTATATCTAATTGAAGACACGGGCTCTCTGACTAAACAAGCTGAGGCAACTGTTGCTACAGACTGGAAAAAAAAATTAACTCCAGAGCAATTCTATGTTACAAGAGGAAAAGGAACTGAACCGGTAAGCAAAAGCACTAATGCTGTCCAAGGTTAAGCCACCTCCTCTGCCTGCTGGGCAGAGAAAAACCTGCTTTGGGGAGCTGTCGCCACTCAGATGCTTTGCAGGTTTTCCCCTGCCTTCCTATGGATGAAAGTTAGACTCAACGTACTGAACCGGGTGGACTTTGTTCTGACCCAGGCTGGTTTGCAGATGAAAAAACATTCTGCATTCTTTTCATATTTTGGTTTTTTTCCTGGATACTTTACTGCCAGCTCAGCTGCCTGTGTGGCAGTAGTGGAGGCCTCTCCAGAGGGGAGGGAGAAGATCATATTTTTGTCTTGCAGTCTCCTTTTTCGGACCATATGTAGATTAGCCATGGACATGTTATACATAGCACTCTGTTCAGGAGCCTCCTGTGCCAGATCACCCACCCAACTTGTCCCTGCACTTTGCTTCCTCCTGGGATGGAGGCCACGTAGCGTTGTGGGTGGAGCGCCGGCGTCCTGAGCCCAGAGCCAGGGCTTCTGCGCGCGCGGAGCATGTACCGTGGGACTAAACCATGTGAACCGCGCCCAAATCCTTATCTGTAAAATAAAGATCCTAATTCCAGGCCATGCAAGGAGGAGGAGAGCCACTTTGAAGTTGTGGCACTCGATAGCAGAGCCCTGGTCTTTGGGATCCTGCACATTTCACAAGTTCCTCGGAGGTCATGACTCCGGCCCTGGTACCTGGATGATTTATGTATCTGACTGGTCTCGAAGTTTCTGGGGGCAGGGGGTAGTCTTCATTATTAATCCAAAGGCATCCTCCCCTTCATTTCTTTAGGCTGCTAATGTTTGTTCTTCAAAGCTCCCCTGTGAAGCCTTCTTTTTATGGTTTTTCTCCTGTTTTGAATCTGATTCCTACATGCTTGTTCCAGATGGTGAGCTTTTAAAGACCTACATTATTAACTTCTCTTTTTTTTTCTTCTTTTTTTGAAAGCCATTTAGTGGGCTCTATCTGAATAACACAGAATCAGGAATATACTACTGCGTGTGCTGCAACGCCCCACTGTTCAGGTAACATCCTTTAGATTTCACAGCATCCTTAAAATGCCCTAACTGTGGCAGGAGGGGCAGTGTCTTTTCATGAGAGGAATGGAAAGTGTACGTCAGGAGACCACTTCTTTGGTGCCAGAGTGCTGTGTAGAAGATTCTCAGGACAGCTGTGGCGATAGAGGTACCTGGTATGCCCTTTTCTTGAGCATATGAGGGTCTCCAGTGGCCAGCAGACAATAATTGCTACATTAGGGTCTGCCTTTTTCTCCTGCCACGCGCACTGTCCTTTTTGGTTGACGGTAATTCTGTTTAAGAGGTCTTTAAGCCACAAGTTGCCACAAAATACCTGTGTTTATGTGTGAATATCACTGTATGTTTGCTCTGTTCTTGTGCTCTTCCATAGTCACCTTCTGCCACTCATGCTACTGGGCTAGAGGGACCTTTGGTCCGCCTCAGTCTAAGCTGTGGTTACGTCCTTACTGCAGTGTCCCTCGTACTGGAGCTGAGACCTCCTCTTCACCCCCACCCCCTTCTTGTTCCCTAAATTAAATTCCACTATTTTTGCCTTTTTGGATACATCTACTTTTTAAAACCTGGCTGCGAATGACCGCGCTATTAACCTCTGTGCTCTTTACAATACTATATATTTTGCAGCTTCATTAAAGTCTAAGTAAAAGGAAATAGAGTGCCTCAGAGTAGGATATGCAGAGGGTGTTCTGTTCTCTGTAACTGAATCAGAAAAGACAGTTCATCGTATTTTTGATCTAGAAAATAGACTTTATATATTCCCAACTCTGAGTTCAATGGAATACGGCTGATATGCCCATTTTTATGAACACTTGAAAGGATGCATCACAGATCAGAACTTCAAATGGGAAGCTGAGGAACAAGAGGTCTGGATAGTAAGAGGGGGAAAAATGTAATGGCTGTATTAAAAATAAACCTAAATTAAGCAATTAAATGGTAAAATTGGAGGCTGATCATTGTGAACAGTTAGTTTTCCTTTGGCCAAGTTGTTATGCAAATGAATATTTGATTAAATGTATGCTTTTCTGTAAAGGTTTGCTAATAGACACTTTTAAATAAAATTATTTCAGAAGCTAGTGCAGCATTGCAGAATATTCTGAAGACAAATACAAATACCTCTGGAAAATTCAGATAAATTAGAGAAATTTTAAATTACTAAGCTGTGGAAGAGTTCCTTCAATTCCTTCAAATGTTCCTTCAGTTTAGACATCTTCTATATTAGACAATAGATATTGACAGGCCAACATGAAGAGAGAAGAGCACTGAAGGGAATTGCTTCTGCTGCTAAACTAATAACAAAATAACAATATAACCAAATAGTCATGCTGCTTTTTGCAGTATCCAGCTCTCAGAGAATATAGGTACTTTTGTTTAAAGCATAAAATAATGCTAAGCTTTACAGACTGATACAGAGAAATAAAAAAACCCAAACTTACAGAAAAAAAACCTTTTAAGAAAATTGAAAATTATTAAATGTGCAGAATGGTCTGAAAATACTTTTTCCATTAATGCATTATATTGTGGAGGACACTAACAATGAGGAAAAAAAATGATATTTGATAAAAGATTCATTCATCATGTTTATTTCCTAGTGCATTAAAAATGTCCTTTCTTTTTCAAATGCATTAGGTCATTAGCTACAGGTAAACATGAAGCATTTCCTCCTTCCTTTCAAAGTACTCGTGTGTGTATACATTTATACCAGAATTTATTACCCTCTGCTACCAAATATTCATTTGAAAGAGTTGGAAATACATGGAACAAACCCCTAACCTTTATGGATAGCAAATTGTGGTGCTTTAATGAAATCTTAAACCTGCAGTGAACCATAAACCTACAGCTGAGATTCATACAGCAAAAAGCACTTTTTAGAATTATCTGGATTCCATCCAGGACGACTGAAATAGGGATCAAAGTAAATGACGTGCTGGAGGAATGGTGTGTCGAAGGCTAATCTAATGCATATGTTTAGGGAAAGTCCATTTATCCATAAATTAAGCGGTGAAATACTTCAAAGGACAAATATGATCTTGAACAGCAATATTTTTGGGTACTAAAATGTTTCTATTAGGGAATCTAAGTGATATTACTGTTAGTAAAACCACACAGAGACCGTTTCTGTTGAGAGCTAGCTTAACAGCTCAAAAGATTGATCCGTTAGCAGTGGAAAACATCTACAATAAACTTAAGTATTGTGAGTGGCATGTAAGGGACGGAGTCAGTCAGGGTCAGATGGAAAACCCACGTAGCACTGAAGACCTTCCTTGACTCTACAGCGTTTCAGAGAGGATCCTCATATCTATGTATGAATAAGCAGAAGGATCCCTGTGTCAGAGAGTGAAGGGTTCTGACTGAAATCTTTTGAAAATAAAAGAAGAAACAGCACAGGTATGTCAGGGAAACTCAGAAGTGGTGTACGGACATGTGTGCTCCCCCAGGTTTTCCTTTGGGAAGCTGTGGCCGGTGGGCACAGTGTTTGGGTGGCTGCGAAGCAGGGATGGCAGAGGACCCTCTTAGGCTGGAACGAAACAAGCTTGGAGCCCTACATACCTTCTCATGCAGACGCAGAGCTGCAAACTGCATTTGCTTTGGTGCAGCCCGCCTCTGTACTGTCTCCTATTTCCCCTCGGTTTTATGGAGGGGAGGAGGCAGGAGAGCATTTCTCATGGGTCTGCGTGGATTGATGTAATGGACTGAGCAACAGCCCGCACAAAAACTAGCCTTTGGTCATTCTGTGTTTGCAAATCTTCTTTTATTTCCACGGCTGCATTGCTCAAAAACAGCCCTGTACAGTTAATTTTAAAATGCATGCTAAAGCATGCGCTGTTCTTTGGGCTGGATTTTTTTTAAGCTTTTTGCCCTGCTTGTTTGTTTTTCCTTTCTAAAGGGCACTGCAGTTAAGATTTTCAGATTTTTCTTCACTGTATTAATATCTCAGCCAAATATACATGATATATACTAGATATGTTGCTTTAAATTCTGTGTTGACTACTGGACTAATCCCCTTGATCAGGGAAAAGCTGCTGCTGGTGTTGGTGTCCCCATTCACCACTAGGTGCCAGTAAGAGCATTGGGTTTGTGAAACTGGGCGAAATCGGGGGGAAACGGTTGTGGTGGGTCTCCAGACCACTCATCCTAGTAGTATGTAGTCTGTCTTCATTTCTCGCTCTAACTCACACTAGGTCACTCTTCGCTAGAAGAAAGTACTTACTGCTATCAAAACTTGCACAACTTTAAATAGGAGGGATTATTTCATTTCTGTATGCTCAATCCCAAAAACATTCTCTGATCATATTTTCCAATATGCTTTAGGTTTTAATATGCAGCTAAGCAGGGCTGGTAATCCTGGATGTTAACAGGAGGCACCTACCGGCTGACGGCCTGTAGCGCTCTTTCTGATGGCTGCGATTATCACTTGGGAAAAGTAGATCTTTGTGCCGTGAGGACTTGTCATCAGTTGATTGATGGTTTGAGCAAGGCTCTGTTTGCTTTACCAAACCGTTTTGATGGCTGGGTGCAAGCTGAAGCCATCATCAGATGTGAGCCTGGTCCAGTGGGCCAACCCAGCCTTTTTCCATACTCATTTTCCATACTTCATTTCTTCTTGTAAACGCTGTTCTCTGAGGTTGTGCTGTATGGGGCCAGGCTTTGAACTGCAAGTTTGCAGGTGTAATTCAGCTAAGTAATGATGTGCTCAGTTGTTGGAAAAACCTTTTTTCAAGCTTTATAAAATGCCAATCTATCAGTGAAATAGAAACAGTGAGGCAAAAGCTCCTGTTGTGGGCTGATGGAGAATTCCCTTTGGTAAAGGGCTTCCAGCATAGTTTGACGCCAGTGAGAAAGCTTCTACTGTGCCAAATACTATTAATAGTATTACAAGACAAGGATGAGGAAAAAAGCCAATGTTCTTATTAAAAACAGACCTTTCTGGTAACATCTCTGTTATTAATTAACAAGAAGATCTGGTTTCCACTATAGCTCAGAAAAGAAGTACAATTCTGGGACTGGATGGCCGTCATTTTCTGAGGCTTATGGTACTTGTGGCAGAGATGAAAGTAATACCAATATCATGAGACGACCAGATAACTCATTGGGATCAACTAGAACTGAAGTCGTCTGCAAACAGGTATGTTTATTTGGGAGGTGATATCCGAAGACTCAAATCTTAACAAATAAGTTTTCTTTGTGCCCACCTAAATCCAGCAGTGAGAATTACGGTATCACTGGAACTATTCTGTCTCACTTCTTGGTATGAAACATATGAGTAGATTTTTAAATATCTAATATCGACAGTTGGTTTGGATGAAGAAAATGACGTCACTGGGGAGAGTAGTTGTGTAAGTATAGCCAAGGGCTGGAGTTTAGACAGAAAATGTATTCAGAGGACCTCAGATGAACTGCAGTATGTGACAACAGACAGTGGAAGGGACTCTGAGATTTAGTCCACCCATTTGCCCCATCACAGGGTCAGTGCTTCCTAATTCAGTCCTGCTAAATGTTTGCTTAAGCTGTTCTTAAAATACGCAGTGATGGAGACTCCACAGCCTCAGTAGGTAATGAGTTGTAATGTGCATGTCCTCCTACTATTGGTTAGACGCAGGGGAAAACACTAAGTTTGCTTTGCAGCAGTTGAAGATGATTACTGTTTGCCCTGGACGGTGGTGGTGGTGCCCTGCATCCTCACAGCTGTCTTCTATGGGTTCTCTCATTTCACAGAAGCCACCCTTCCATGGTAGCTGTTCCTGTCCTGGTAGTGTTCCTGTCCTTACACCTTTACCTTTCCCCAACCCATGACCCATACTTGTATTGGGACCTGCTGTAATACCCAGGTCCTTTTCTAAAGAACTGCCACCCCTAACCATTTCTTTCCAACCCTGAGTCTGTTCTGTTTATTACGTCTGTTAAGACATAAAAGTATGCAATCGAGTTTAATGAATTGCAGCCCCTTCTAGCAGGATTAGGCATTACCTGCAAATGTAACAAGCATTCGTTGCAGTCCATTATCATGGTGTAGTTCATGTTTGCAGTAACATCCAGCAATCACCTCTCAAGAACCCCGGCTGAAGACAACCTTCCAATTTTACAATGAACCACTGACAGCTATTCTGAGTCTTTTTCCCATCAGTAATTTTTTATTTGGGGGGGGAGGGAGGAATCCTCAGTTGACCTGTAAGAAGGACCTACAGTGACTCGATTAACTTGAAATTTTCACTGAGAACTCTAGATCCTCCCATTTATTTCCTATACTTTCCGGCACTAGTACCTTCTGACTCCCTCTTCTGGGATCTGCTTGTTTGGGGGCAGATATTCACCCACTGGCCAGAGGTGATTACTCCAGGATGTATTTCCAGTCTCTCCCCGAGACTCCCCCACCCACACAACTCAACCATGAATTCATCGTACAAGTTTCTTCATTTAAAATAGCACAGTAAGTACCAGCATAATTGTAATGGTAATAATGGTTCATAATTTCTGTTGCAGTGTGACGCCCATCTAGGCCATGTGTTTGATGATGGTCCCACACCTTCTGGGCAGAGGTTCTGTATCAACAGTGTTTCATTAAAGTTCAAACCAGGCTCTGGCCAGTGAGAAGTGGATCTCTGTGGCTGACAGAACATCCTTTCACTGCCCGTACAACACACTTGTGAAAAACTCTCACGCTTTTAATATAGAACTCAAATTTCAGTACTTATGCCATTGCAGCTTTGCTTTCCAGCTATTATCAGTGTTGATAAAATACATATTTTTGTGGGAACTCTCTGAGATTCTGCCTTTTCATAGGTAGTGTGATGTAAGTGTTGATCTGTTTATTGTATTTTTTAATTTAAAAAAAAATCTATGCAATAGTTTACATTCATAACTATCGTCATTAACTGTATCGAGGCTGCTGAAATGAAGTGCTCTCCTGAACCTGACTTTGCCTATGCTGAACAGTAGTTGTGGCACCCAGGAGTACAGATGTACATGGCTGCTCATGACAGAGCTTTTACTTCCATAAAATCATCGGATCTTTCTAAAGGGGAGCAAAAATGACATAAATCTCCAAATAAGGTTTGAGAGGTTTTTTTCTCCCTGATGTGGGAGACCTTTAGCCAAGTGACTTTTCCATGAACCCATAAAAGCAAAGTCCTGAAGGAGGGCCTAACTAAAACTATTCCAGGCAATGGAACCAGTGGAGACACGGCGTCTTTCTTCTTTTGAATTAATTACTTTGATTCTGTGTCCAATAGCAGAGCTGAAGTAGGGTTTGCTCCAGGAACTTCCTCTTACAGAAATAATATGATAATAATGTAACGATCTGTGTAATATTTCCAGACTTCTGTTATCACTTGTGTATTTCAGAATCTGAAAACAAAAATGAATGTGAAGTTTACTGTATTTGGGGGAAAAAAATCAGCATCAAAAAACATGTTCAGTAAAGTGATGCTTTTGTTGAAAACATGCCTTGTCTGTTCTTCCTTCTACAAGTTTTTAAATACTTCTGTATTCCCCCAAGCATTGTCACCATGGTTTGCTGTAGCAGAAAAATAAATCGTATGTTTGCTAAATTGAGCTTTCTTGCTTTCAGATTTTTTTTCCAGAGAAAATAATCTGTGAGTCAGAACATCAGCTTCACTAAACTGGCCGGGTTTAAAAGCTTCCCTGCTGAGAGTTACTAGGCAACATCTCATTTGGCTTTACCTATAACAGGCTGTTTCCATTCTCCCCACTTCGGTTGCCTCAGCAATAAAAAGGGTGTGTTCATTTACTTAGACTAGTGTAGTCTTAAAACTGTTTAATGTCTTCAGAAAGCAGACCTCTCTTGCACTGAATTTACTTTTGCTCCTTCTGTCTTGGAGCTCTGCAGTTTTTCATTCTTCTGTACTTTCCACAGGAGAACTCCACAATTTCACAACTTTTAAAATCATACAAGGACAGTGATCGCTACAGCCAACCTAAACCAGAACGGCACAAAGGCCACCAGAGGTGTGAAGCAGCATGGATGAAGCAGACACTTGCCGCTACTGGTTTTATGTGGTGTCATAGATGGTGACGGTCACGTTGTCATCAGAGGTGTCTGTTAGCAGCAGCATGCTGCTTGCTGTGTCTGTGCTGCATCGTGCTCTGCCATGCAGCGATGCCCTTGCATCACCTATCGCTATCCCCTGCCTGCTCTCACCAGGATGTACGTGCCCAGCCTGCTCAGGTCTCTGCTCCCAAGAGCCTTCGCAGGTTGTACAGGAATCACCATCCTTGCACGCTCTGAATTCATGTACCCCCCCCCCATCCTCCGTTGCCATTGTTCTCTCGTTGGATTAAATCCCTTCCCCCCCCCCCCCATCCTGATATACTTTCATTCTCTGGTTGGTTGGTTTTTTTGCCTTAAAATCTATTGCACAGCCACTGGAAAGGGGGTTTGGCCCTCACAGGCATTCTTTAGCCAGGCAGCCCACTCACCTCTCCTCACCTTTCATATCAGGAGCCGGTCATCTCAGAAAGGAGTGTGACTAGAACGTGTCCCCAGCTGGACTCCTGTCTTCAGCCAGGTGCTGGTGGAGAAGCCAGCACCTGCCTGAGTACAGTGACAAGAGTCACTGGGATATCAAATTGAAATGTCCAAAAGGCTGGGATATCAAATTGAAATGCTCCTCTTTTCTGCAAATGGCAGAAAGTAGGAAGAGAACTGGCCAAATACCTGTTTCTTACCTATCCCCACAGATACCAGGTCTCACTAACACCTTCTGCAGGTGAGACGGAATGCCGTACGAACAAAACAGACCATGGAGCTGACAAAACAAGTACCCACGTGCAAACTTGTGTGCAAACAGCGCTCAGTTTAGTACCTTGGATGTACACGGTGGGTAGAGACCAACTCAGTGAACTGGCAAGTTAGTAACTATTACTGACAGAGGAAGCTTGCCTGAGTAGAGAGGAGGTTTATTTCACACCTCTAAAGATCATTGTATGCAACTGGACATTTGGGCTAAGAAGCAGCTGGTGCCTCCTCACTCATACAGCAGGATGACCTGAGGAAAGAGTCCTGTAAGGCTCCACTTTAGCTTGTGCAGTGTGAATTACAGACACGTAATCATATGAACAGACCCATACCTTCAAGGACATCACCTGACCTGCACTACACTGATATGGCACCAAGCAAAGAGCATAGAGCACAACTCCACTGCCCCAGAGAAACCAGACACTGAGCTAAGCAACCTTGTTCTGCTTATCCAAATGAAAACAAGAGGAAAAGCTTTCACCACGTGTGTAAAATCAGAGTAATGGTCCATCACCTTTCAGCGTGGCTATGTATCCCACAGTTTGGAGTAGCTATACTGAGACATACCTGAATATCCCACCCCTTACACTTCACTGTAACACTAAAAGTGTTTAGATGTCTGTATGTACCTGTGTGTATATATCAGCAGAGGAACAGGGGAAATAACTTTGCTTTGTAAGCATGGCCATTAATCAATTCGGAATAAAAACCAAAATTAACAGAAGCCCTCTTATCACTCCCAGCCCTCCCCATGGCAGGCAGTATGCACCTCTTCTAATAAAACACAGCCAATGATGCAGGACTGAGCAGAGGAAAAGGGAGGCAGTAGATAATCATAGAATCATAGAATCATAGAATCATAGAATCATAGAATCGTTAAGGTTGGAAAGGACCTCTGAGATCATCAAGTCCAGCCTGTTCACCTAACTGCCAGGTCCACCTCTAAACCGTGTCCCTAAGCACCACATCCACACATTTTTTTAATACTTCCAGGGAGGAATGAGTGGAGGAAATGGGTATGAACTTCTTGAATTAGCTCTTCTGATGCTTTTTTGGCAATGTCTGACTCTCTCTCTTACCTTCTCTGCTGTATCAGAGAGTGGCTGGAACTGGTTGCGCAGCAATCTCAAGTAGTGTGGTGGGGATAAGGCAGGGGTTTCTTAACTGATCCATCTTTTTATTACATTATCACTTGTGAAAAATGACATGGATCAAATGGGTTGCTCCTCAGTAGTCCTTTATAGAAGGGCAAATTTGATAGCCTTGTTTTCTATTATTTGTCTTACAGTACAAAATGGGGGAGAAGGACAATGTGCATTTGGGTACAAGATTATTATCTCTTGAGCAGAGCATTATTATTATTAGGTTAACAATTCATTTTGAGGGTATGCCGAGATCTGCATGTATAAAACTGCAAGCTGTCTGTGTCTTTGGGTTTACCGTTCCCTCTGCTGCCTTTTTGTTCCCTATATATCAGCTCAAACTTCTGTTTTTCACTTTTAAGATCTATTGCAGCATGGTCCTACCTTGTGTTTTGTCTCATACATGCTGATGGTACTGGCCTGTGCTCTGCCAGTAATGTCTGCCTTTGTAAATTTAAGGTCAAGTTTTCTTCAAATACATTTGTGCTTTATCTTGGGCTGTCAAAACCAGAGGAGATCCATCTAAGACTCTGCAAGGCCACTTAGTTACCCTGCTTCTTCCTGGCCTCCTCCCTGAAATTCGCATCTCTCAGTCTGCACATAGAGCATACCTAAGCAACTGGTGTGCCCTGACAGCTGGGATTACACCAGCCATAGTGATGCCACTGTTACCTTGTGCTTCCTGCATCTGCCAGGGGAATCCACATGACATTTCTCATGACGTAGTTGAGTTTATCTCCCATGACGATGCATTTACAAGAGCTAATTTTATGTCTATAAACAGAGCTGTTGACATTTATGGCCTCATCCCTGTGTGACGTAAACTGCTGGACAATCAGGACCTCTGGCCGTAAGCTCTTTGGGGCAGGGAACTTCATTGTCTTCTGTGTCTGTGGTACCAACCACACCAGGACAGATCCCAGCTAAAGGCCCAAAGTGTTATAAGATCACGAATAATAAAGACCGATAATGATAGAAGACACTATTAAAGAGTATCATAAGCTACAAGAATTTCCTCATGTATCTGCAGTGACTCTGTTCCACCATAGCGAATACAGAGCAGTTGCTTCTCTGAGCTGAATATACTCTGCCAGGCAACTGCAGATTTATGTTCCATCTTTCACATCTGAGAAGTCTTTCAACATTGTTATTTCATTAATTAGTTTCAATGATGATACTTTTTATCCCATTGTGTTTTCAAATAACCTTTTTATAAATCCTAATTGAGGTTTGTACATAATTCTTAAGAGACTTTAACATCTTAAACAAACTATTTCAAGGCTTTCTTAGTCTTTGCAGCATCTCTACAAGGCAAGCAATTATTCTCAATTTTACTGAGGAAAGACTTGATGAGAAGAATTTAATTGGCTTACTCAAGACTACAAATTAAATTTGCAGCCAAGCCAGAATTAGACTCTGCATGGCTCCTAACAGCTTCCAGATCTTCAGACCCTGCTTTTTCTAAGACTTGTTTTGGTACTTAATTGTTTGGGGGGGTTGAATTATTGAAAGAGAGGAGGTACAATTAGTATATGTTTTTCCAGCTATGGTATTAAAACCAAAGCTAAGCTAACTAGGGCAACTTTGGCACATAAAAGCAATACTTGACCTCTTTCTCAGAGCAAAAGTGGTACAGGCTTGGTTAGGAATTAGGCAGCTGTATTCTCTGACTGTGCTGCGTATTGCCACAC